CCACAGCGTGCTAAAGAGAATCCCATGGCCGATAACAACGACTGCAAGCACCCGCTTACGGCGGGGGTGGCGGTGCAGGTCGCGTGGGCGACTGAAAAGCTGGAACGTCGTGATTACGGCGCGGTCGTCATGGAATTGAATTCTCTCAAGTTGGTTGGCGAGGGGAGTGTGTTTGAAAGGGGGCCTCACGTGTCGGTAACCCATATGGGGTAATTTCAGCCCCCTACAGAGGCAGTCCTCTCCGAGCTGCGGTCTAAGGACCGACGATCCGCGAAAGAATGGGAGTACGTCAACGCGGCAGGAGTGTGGACGGAGCTTGGCCTGGCTGCGTCGGAAGTGGCTAAGGGACAATATGGAGACCTGTAAGATCTCGGGAAGAGGTTTGCTTTGGCGCAGAACTCGTTCAAGGCTGCGTTGGAGGTATTGTCGATGCGCGCCCAGTACTTCCAGGATCTGACGGATCAAGGAGTTGAGATGGCAAGACAGATGTCCTGTCTTGTCGAACAGGGACAGGAGGCGGTGTTCTCCGAATCTTACCGTACAGCACGGGAGGCCCTCACATCTAAGTTGGAGATTGAGGCCGCAAAGCAGCTCGCCAAGGCAAGATTGGAGAGGGCGAGCGGACGCGGCTATGGGGATGGGGGCGGGCCCCGATGGCCCGCCCAGTCAGAGTGACGGGCGCCCTAAGGGGCAAAGCAGGAGCAAAGTGTCCGGGGGACTACTGTTGTGGCGAGGGACGTCTACGAGGGCCGACGTATGGTCATCGGAGCTCAAGGCGTCGGACTATCTCGTCCGGGCATTACGATACGGTATCCGGGACATGCCCGGGAAGCCGTTTACGGATGGATTGATGCTGTCGGAACTCCCCGAGGCGGAAGAAGACACGGCATTTGCGACGAAGGACTTGGAGGAAGGACGTTTGCGAGGGGTGTACGAGAAGATCGGGTGGGAAGATGCGCAGGGAATTTTGGCCGCGGGAAAGATGGTTTCTTCGGCGTTTGTTGTGTGGCAAGGGGAGGGAGCGGAACGGAAGGGGAGGTTTGTCATCCACTTCCACCGGCAGAGCAAGCACTGCCCGAAGGGGAGCATCAAGATGGAGACAAATCCCTCGTTCGCGGCGGACATTCAGAAGAACGACATGTTGATGTAATGGGATGTGCAGAGTGGATACCGGCACTTCTACGTGCATCCGGACATGCGCGACCTCTTCGTGTTCGGCTACGGGGGTTGTTTCTACCGTTGCGCCGCTCTCCCCTTTGGATGGGGCGCTCTGTGCTGTGGTTCACCAGGTTGTTCCGCCCTCTGGTGCGCTACATGCGGGAGAAATTGGGCTACAGGGTGCTGCCGTATATCGACGACTTTTTGGTAGCACCTTGTCGGTATGGGCGCCCTTCTACACGGGAGGATTGCAAAAGGGCGCGGAAGCGGCTCTCGGCGCTGTTTGGAAGGTTGGGTATTGTGCACCATCAAACGAAGGGTTGTTGGGAAGGGAGTCGCCAGCTGGATCACCTAGGGATGCACACGGGCACGGAAGCGATGAAAGTCTATGTGTCGGATGCCAAAGTAAGAAAGGAGCGTGCGCTGGGAAGAGGATCTTGTTGTTGGCTCAGAGGAACAGACGGTTGGTGTCGGTCAGGTTGCTACGGCATTTCTGCGGCGTGTGCGTTTCATTGTCACTCGCCGCACCCCTCGCCCGCTTTCACACGCGCTCCATATACTTTGACATGTCTCTCGCGGGACGCAAGGAGCGAGGATCAAGTTGGAAGGTGGCACGCCGGAGCAAGCTCGCAAGCTCCAGGTGGTGCTGCCTGAAACCTATCCGCAACGACGAGGCGCGAAGCGCACGGGGGTGCGGGGCGGAGCCACGGCATGGTATCCAGGCTTGATGGATGGCGACAAAAGAGTATCCCAAGGAGCCGGTCAGATGAGGGGGCGAGACGCCGAAACCAGTCAGTTGGGGGAGAGAGGTGGGAAGGTGCGGTTGAGTCGGCAGTCGCTCAGGGACCTTCGTTATTGGCCTTCATTAATCAGGGGGCAGGACGCGATCTCGTGCGACTCGACCCCCACCTGGCGATGCACAGCGACGCAGCAGATCTGGGCTACGGCGGCACGTTGGGATTCGATATGGGGCAAGGATTGCCGGGTTTGTGGGAGGGTCGCGGTTTCTGCAAGGCGGACCATCGAGCGCAGTCGATTACTTTGCGAAAGTTGAAAGCCGTCCGTCACCTGTTATACCGACACTTCGCCCACTACGTAGCCAACCCCCGGGTGCGACGAATCCTGTTGCACGAGAACAACCAGGCCGTGGTCTACATCCTCAACGCGATGGATTCGACGTCGAAGGAGATGATGACGGAACTGCGGAAGTGGGAAGCTCTCCTACGAATATTGGGCGTGCACCTAGAGGCGCGTTGGATTCCGTCCGCCGTCAACCGCTTCGCCGACACACTGTCCCGCACGTGGGACCCAGGCGATGTTCGTGCAACTTCGGAAGTGATACAATCCATACAGGCGGAGTATGGTGTGGATCACGTGGTGTTCAAGTACCGGCCGCTGGGGGAGACCATGGTGGCGCGACGGAAGTACCTATCGACGCAGATGCAAGAGGATTGTGGAGACGGGAAGGGGCGGCTATGGAATCCGCCCTTCGACCTGATAGCGGTGGTGGTTCGCAAAATCGAGGCGTAGGGTGGTCCGGGTGTCTTGTTAGCTCCGAATTGGGCGGCGCAAGCATGGTACGCGCGCTTGCGCGAGTTAGCGTATCTCGTTCAGGTCATGCACCCAGGCGCCGATTTTCTGCGGCTGGTCGGCAGAAAGGGCAAAGGGGACGCTTGGCCGATGGTTGTCGCACAGATCGGATAGGGGAGAGTTGGAAAGAGGGGATTGTTGCTTCGGTGTTTTCAAGAGTGGTTACGGATACGCCTACTTGGGGCGCCGCGGAGGCAGCGTCGCTGTTGGCCAACTCCGGTTGGAGGAAGCGCACGTGGACGAACCGATCGAGTCAGATTTGTAAGTGGCTGGATTCCTGCGATGAGGAGCTATTGATGCCGCTGCCGACGGAAGAAGGGGATGTTCTCGCAGACATTGGCTACTTGTCACTCGAAGTAAGGGTGAGTGCTGTCTCAGCGTTGCAATACGTCTCGGCAGTGTCGCGGTATCATATCAGCCATGGGTATGCGTCCCCCAACTTGACCCTCTCAGTCAAGGACTTGTTACAAGCCTTCGCAAACAAAGAGGAACAGACCGACCCCGATCATTTGATCCAGGTTGGATGCCCTACTACTTCGACGGTTTTCAATGCCCCCGGTATCCGCGGGCTCTTCGATCTAAGTCCTAACAACCGCTTGGGTACTGCTCGCCTCGCTCCCGCTGTGTCCCGGGCGCTCGGGCTCATGAACGCTGTCCCGCCGTCTGGTGCCTACTATGGCTGTCATAGTCCGCGCATCGGGGGGGGGGGGTAATGAGCTCCTCAATTTACATTCCGCGAAGCTTTGGATTATGCACGGTCTTGATTGGTCGTCTGAACGGATGTTTTCCGTTTACTTCGACAGCCGCATTGTTATCACCGCCATGTCGGAGTGGTTTTTTGGCCACCTTCGCGCTGCGCCTGTGGCCCCTCCGCTTTAACTGGAACCTTCGCGTCAGTGTACACAGCATCTGTATGCGGGTGAAGAATCATCCGGGGAGTAGCGAGCGCCCTTGACAGTGTAATGACAGTATGCCGAGCCTCGCCGTCGCTGTCCCACTTATAAGCCCTTCTCCGAGGTCACCGTCTCCGTTCTGAGGCATGTCTATTTCTCTTTCCCACCCAGCCCCGTTCCGCCCTATGTTCGCTGGCTACTCTTCTCTACATGTCTATTTCTCTTTTATGTTTCTTTTCCTGTTTTACATTTGTCCCAGAGTTCTATTTCACGTACTTCTACCACGCACTGGCGTATAGTACTCCGATTAGCGGGTCTCATTAGGCTTCAGTAAATCAACACAGAACTCTTACGCCCAGTCCCACACAGCAAATCATTATGAGGAAGAATACACCCGGTCCCACACCATTCGTTTCATAGGACAACACGCACATTCACACTGACCTCTGATTAAATAGTGTCCCTTCAAGCATTTCGATTGGTACGGTATAAACTTCCAGTACAGTATGATAGTCATGGCTGTAATATTTATCCTCTACAGCTGTAATGCAAACAGGGAGAACGATTTTTGTTGTGGTGAATCCGCGACCTCTCCCGCCTTCTCCTGACCTCTCAAGAGGGGTCCTACTGTACATGTGCAAGATGTCCTTCACACGAACCAAACCTGGCCCTGGCCTTTCCTTTCGCTCCAATTTCCCTTTGCGCCCTGCACTCAGCACACCTCCCGCCTTCCCTTCGACCGCCCCAATGCGCCTGTCAGGTGCCACACGTCGTCCAAACTTCCAGGTGTACTGTACAGCCATCCGCGTAGTCCAAAGGTTGACCACTTTCTTTGACCCTGACGTGGGGCTCGCGCAGCGCTCCGGTCTTTCCGCAGAACACGGGTCCCGAAGAGGAAAAACAGCAGCGTCCACACCGGTGGATGCGGCCCGGCTGCTACTTGTGCACAGCAATTAATGCTTTCTTCCGTCCTGATTCCTTCTCTCTTCATGCGCTCGCGTACTGGATGCTAAGATAAAAGGTAATCTCCTTCTTACGGCGACTGGTAGCAAGCTCAGTTGCAACTGGGAAGCTGGCCAAGCACGATGTTAACCCTTTTGTTATCAAGATAACATTATCTGGCTCTTCCGTCGAAGGGGACGAACTCCCTTCATTGCTGTCACGTTTCTGTCCTTACAGTGACAGTTTCTCCTGTACAGATACTAGTACACGTTGTAATTAGTGTACACAGGTACGTGCTGGACTCGACACACACGTGTACACTCCAGAAGACTCCTTATTCATGTATTAAACGGCTTCATGTGCCCTTCGTAGATCTGTCGCCCTCATCCTAGCTCAGCCGCCTGCCACCCTACCGTGTCACTGCTCTATCATCCCCCTGCTGGGTATGAAGGCTATCCGGTCTTGCGTCACTCGTTCACATTCCCCTTCATGACAGAGAGACACAAGAATTTCATCCTGCCCTCCTCCCCAGCCCCTGCCCAGAAGTATGACCGCCAGATCCTCCCCAGCCCCTGCCCAGAAGTATGACCGCCAGATCCGCATCTGGGGCGAGCAAGGCCAGACGGCCTTAGAGCGCGCCTCTGTCTGTCTCATTAATGCCGGACCCGCTGGAACAGAGACATTGAAAAACCTAGTTCTCCCGGGTATCGGCTCTTTCACAATCATCGACGGACATAATGTCACCGAAGCTGATTACGGCGTTAACTTCTTCCTCTCGGCAAGCAACTCGCCCCATTCCAAGCCCGACGACAACCCGGCTTCTCGTAACCGCGCCTTGCGCGTCATGGAGGCCATGCACGAACTGAATGACGTCGTTGATGGTGCCTACATCCCGCAAGACGTTTCTTCGTTTATACGCAATGAGGAGGACGCCTCTTCGTTCTTCACACGCTTCTCCGTCGTCATCATCACCCAAATGGGCTCCATTGATCCTACAGTCCAGTGCATCTCCTCCGCTTGTTTCAGAGCAAACGTTCCCGTTCTGCTAGTCCGTGCAAACGGGCTCGTCGGCTTTCTCCGCGTCCAGGCGCGTGAGGTATGTATACTGGATGCCAAGGATGATGCCGCGGCCCCGGACTTAAGACTTCATTCTCCGTTCAAAGAGCTGGAAGAATTTGCAAGCAAATTTAACTTTAACGAAATTCAGGATACCACTGTCTTGTCCCACATTCCTTTCGTTGTTATTCTTGTCCAAGCCATCGCCCAGTATCGAAAGCAACACGGCGGTCAACTTCCATCGTCACGTCCGCAAAAGGAAGAATTTAAAGAGGTTGTCAAGTCCATTCGTCCGTCCTGCTGCCCTGACGCTGCGGAAAACTTTGAAGAGGCCCTCAAAGGCTCGAATTTACGCCTTTGTTATGCAAGTGCACGTGAGGTCCCGAGTTCAACACGCGCAGTGTTTTGTGACGCAAAGAGCAACCCAATTACCGTGAGTGGGCTTCAGCCAGAAAGCTGTGATTCTTCCCAACTTGGGCGAAAGGGCGCTTTCCCGGAAGCTATTCGCTACGTGAAGTTGTCCAAAGCAAGCAGCACTACTTTGGCCGAATCAGAGTCAAATCTTGTGCAAGGCGGATCCACCATAGCTGGTGCCGCACGAATTGCGAATGATTGCCGTGTGTTCTGGTTGCATGTCGCCGCAATTCGAGATTTCATGGAACGGTTCGGATGTCTCCCTCTCCAGGGTTCCTTACCGGACATGGCTGCTGATACAGAATCTTACGTAAGCTTGCAAAAGTTGTATTCGTCGAAAGCTCGTGATGACGCTCGAATAGTGGCACAGTGTGTTAATGAGATCGCTGATAGACATGCAGTTGACGCGGAAGACTTTGATGAGGAGTCCGTTCGTCTCTTTTGCAAAAACGCTTCCAGTTTGCGAGTTTATCGTACTAAATCGATTGTCGAGGAAATCGAGAGCAGAGGGAAGGGTGGCTTTAAGGCAGCTGCAGAAATGGACGGAGCTTTGGATGCTAGTCAAAACGGGACGGCAGCCCCTTACTATGCCTTGCTGAGGGCTGCCGACCAATTCAGATTGGAACATGGGCGGGAAGCTGGATCAGTGGCAGAGATGCGTGAAGCAGATGACAGTCTTATATGTGAGTACCTCAGCGCAGTGAAAGAAGATATCGGTATTCCTGGAACCGCGTTGCTTTGGCGTGATCAAGCCACAGAAATGGTGCGGTATGCGGGAAGCGAATTGCATAACGTTTGTGCATTCATGGGCGGCATAGCTGCCCAGGAAGTGACAAAAATTTTGACAAGACAGTTCATGCCGCTCGACAACACTTTGATAGTCAATTTTGCGCAGCAGACAAGCGTCACCTTTGCGGCATAAATGAAGTGATGTCATTTTTTCGCAAACACTGAAACTCTTTACACAGCGTTTGAGCAGCCAGTCAGCTGTTGCATGTCTGCGCCTTGATGCTCCAGGTCGTAATTTCCGCTTGTCTCTGGATTGCTGTGCGACGTATCGCGAAAAGCCAAAACCCTCCAGCATTCGAGTACGTGTTATTCTCGTAGAACCGATTGAAATCGACATTCACACACGTGAGCTGTGCTGTTGCTGCTTTTGCGTAAGACGCAAAATTGTCTCAAGACCTCCTTAAAGCCTTCTTCAAAATGAAAAAGGATGGTCCAGGGGAAGTCATTTGCAAACCACGATATATTCGGACTACCAAGCCTGCGCATGTTTGGTTGTCGGAGATAAGCCCATGCACTTCATTGCAATTCGAAAAGAGTCGTTATTGCCAACCGGAGAATGACAAAAAGAATTATGGGCTCGGGAAAATTGCCGATCTTAGGCCCTGGCTAGCTCTGATGTCTGGCGTTCTGAAGTTACCAAAAAGCGAGAAAGATGAATAATTTTCCTCGCTCGATCTTTCACATTTTTGCAGCTCTTTAGTCTGTTATCATGGTGCAAAAGAGAACACGGAGAAAGCGAGAAGGATATGTTGACAAAGTCAGCTCGAAAAAATGTATGATGGCCCTGTGCATGTGCAAGTTGAGAGCTATTTCGCCAAAATTATGGCGGCCTACCAAAGAGCAGCTCGAAAAGATGCTTTGAAAGTGTGGTTCCATCCAGATAGGTCAGCACAGATAAGGCACAGCCACATAAGGCACTACAAATCAGCACATAAAGTCACCGCCGGCCGCCGTCCCCCCAGGGGTGAGAGGGCCATCGGTGTTCATGGCATCACAGAAAGAATTCCGCTTCACTGACGTTCAGGTGGACAAAGGATATTCTGCTAGTGTCTTTGCTGTGTTTTGTGGCTACATACTTTTTTGGCCTCCGGGGAGACTTGAATTTTCTCCAAATATACAGTAATAGGAGAGCCCTTTATTTTCTGTTTCTTTATTTTTGAAGGAACTTATGCTCCAGAGCATGTCAAACTGCTTTTTGGACAGCCTCATCATTTCGTCGTGAAACGGCTTCACAACTCTTTAATATCGATTATAATGGGATAGGGCCCAACAGTTTGCTTCATGAAGATGTGACGACAACTCGCTCACCCTCCGTCAAATAGAGAGCAGGAACACAGAGTCTGGACATGCAACAGTGCCCATGCGTACTAAACACTAAAATTCAATGCGCAGTTCATTCAGAGAGCCGATGCGCTTTTGTATGAGATGGGACACCAACGGCCCCTTCTGCCAGGATTCGCTGCAAGTAAAGATCTTCGCCCAGTCAAGGGTCAGCTCACAAACGCAAAAAAACAAATTGCTTCAGAAGCGAATCTATCAAGCACTGTGACGTCAAAATCGATGATCGCAGCATTTTAGCATCTTCCGAAGAGGCAATAGCTTATGTCAAACTTTCACGTACAACACCTCACTGCCTCGTTGGAATAGTTTCAGTCACTACTGTGATAGTTGAACTGGTGCAGTCAGGAAATATCTGTTTTGGTTGAGGTGCGGCAAGTCTTGCTTTTTCCGAACGAGCCTGGACATGCAAGATGCAACAGACAGAAAAGTGCTTTGCTTGGGTGATGTGAGTAGCGGAACGATTGCAGTAATCAGATTTGACAATGAGCCATTTTCATAGAACTACTCTCACACGATTAGCGGGGGCATTAAACAAGCTCACTCCAAATTGCTTAGAATGATCATCATTGCGCTCGGTCCCTAGTCCAGAGGGGCAAATCGGTGATATGCAAACTTCTTCTAAGGCGTTATGATGTAGCCAGTGAATGGTTCAGAGCATGTCGAATGGTTGTATGCTTTGTGGACAGGCGTCTCTAGAACACATGCAATCGGTCTGATGACACAAGAGACAACAGTTCTTGAAGACATGGCATGGAACAACACGAGTCGTGGGCTTCTTCGGCTGAGTGATGCTATGTGTACACACGTCTTGGCAATTAAGCCTTCGTCTTGTTCTCAGACTCTTTGGAGTACATGACGATTCAAATATCATTGCTTCATGTCAAACCTGTCTCGGAACCAGGGCTCATGCTTCCAGTTCATGTCATATCAAGGGTCGAGTTGATGAGCCTGTTTTGAACTGTGCAGGGATGAAAATAGTAGAAACGATCCACCGAAGTCACCTGAGAGTCACGTCAGCATGTACACTCGGTGACATTAAAGACCGTACACACAGCTGATTGCGGTGCTCGCCTCGTGTGACTGTATGTGTGGGCTCATTCCTTTGAATAAAATAGGGGAAAGATTTGTGACGCGGAGCAATTGCTGGCATAGCCGAGTTACGACTCAAAACAGCCTGATACATGTAATGTACTAGCTGTACAACTGACCATTTCGAGCTGTTATGACTCGTGGTCATCCTTGCCCCGTATGATACACGTTTTGGGTAGTTGTTGTAGGCCAACGCAGACTAACATTGGGAGCACCCGATAAGCTACAAGGAATGGGACATGGGGAACTTCTGACATATGTATACGCGCCGATGCTCAAGCGAACAGTACAGCCAATTAGTCATAGAGGCGTTGGCGCTCATCAAAATTGGCCGAAGCAAGGAGGTATTCTTCAAAATAATTGTATACTGTACCTGTATAATTCGTATATCCTTCGGGTCGAACATTCCTTCGAACTGTCGCATTGACGACTTTAGGTGGAGATAGAATGTGTTTTTGACGCATTGCTATGAAGTCTACAGCTTGACTGTTGCCGATATCGTCATCAATCGTCGCATGCCTGTACCTTACATCTTACGACAGAGGAGTGCATTATGTTCCAAGGAACCACTGAGAGAATTAGCTTCGGCCTCGAAGCCCTGCCACGATGCAGAGGCCCGAGTACAGTGGCTCTACGATAATTGAATTCTCGAACCAGCGAGCGTGACCGGCAGATGGATGCAGAACGCTTGCACTGCCATCACTCAGCGGCAATATAGAGTCCAAGGTCCATGAATCACGGTCTCCATGCCAACAGTAAGAGCTTTTTCCTTTTCGCTTCTCTCCTACGTGTACGCCTTGGCCCGGATACCCCTCAATTCAAGAAATGGGCGTTACGATTCTCACCAAGACTTGGGCCGTCTTCTCCAAACCAAATTGAACTAATAAAGAAGGTCCGATGCAGCCCGAACACGTGGTACTGAGAAGTCGCATGAAGGGCAATGGGTCCAAGAGCGTCCGGGATCTCTCCAACTTACATCCCACCTTCTTAGAAGCCAGACATGGAATCGAAAGCCCACTAGATATGCGGGGCAGGGAGGAAGAACGCACTTCTCTACCGTCGTACCAAGGAAGCTGCGAATGAAATGGAAGAGTGTCGAGGGTTGACAATTTGTGCATAAAAGAAGGTTCTGAGAAACACTTCAGTCATGGCTACACTCCCCGTTCGCTATCACTCAACGCACAACGACTGTTTGTAACTTCTTGTCCATCAAAAATGATGAAGCTCGCTGTTTTCTTCGCTCTGCTCTCTGTTGCCTTCGCAGTTACTGTCCGTCCTGCAGCCAATCCCTCTCCTGCAGCCAAGCCATCTCCGGCAGCTTCTCCTTCGGGGGCAGCCCCTCAAATTAAGAAGCCTGACATCAGTGTCCAGCTTGACGATGGTTCTACTACCACGGCCTCGGGCGACCAGGCCGTCGGTACTGCTGCCAACAAGGACTCTGGTGCCACCGGTGCTAAGGGCTCTGACAATGCTATCGGTCTTGCGGGTCCGGGTTTTGCTTTTGGATTCGGCCAGGGGAGCGGCCCGGACGCCACCCCAGGCTTTGGCAGTATCCTAAACATCTTCAACTAGGCGAGCCCGGAGGGCTCTTCTGCTCATCTTTGATATTAGGAATGTACGTCAGAGCAACTGAGATTGGAAGCCGTTTCTGCACGAATCTTCTGGTCGAATCATTGAGCAATAACTCTGCGCGGGATGAGGCACTCGCGGCAGTGTCTCAGCTCCCAAACAACATATAAAGAAACCAATACAGTTTAATTGGGATTTCTATCTACCTTCTGTGTCCTGATCTTCCGCTTTGCCGCGACAATTCGACCTCACTCTGTGAACAATTGCGATGGAGAGTGATGCAGCCGCAGTTGCTTTACGTGACTAATTTACATCTAGCAAACCGTTGCTCAACTGAATCGATCAGGCTTGCTCAATTTTGCCTGCCTGCGCAAAAACAGAATCCCCAGGGCGGCGGAAAACGCAGCCATTGCGGCCGCTGGTTCCATGCTACCGGAAGCGTAAAGCTGGGTTGCTGCCAGGGCCGTTGTGCCAGTGGACAGAAGGTAGTTGCTTGACTCTGTCAGAGAGTACTGCTTGCGAAGAAGCTTCTCAGTCTCGGTAGAACGGGAACGCAATTTAATATCTCCTCTCTCCAACTGCGTGAGCGTTTTCTCAATTTTTTCGATCCTTGACACCGCCTTCACAGCATCAGCACCAGTACCAATAACGCGGCGACGAATCTCATCCGTTACAGGGTTTGATCGCCCGGATAGCAAGCTGGTCGCAACACGGCGCACAACACTCTGAGGAGAATCGATACCACCCGTTCTTTCTTTCAAAATCTCATCAGCAAAGGGCAAGGCGACTTCGGAGAACTTGAAATTCGGGTCAAGACCTTTGGCCAGGGCCTCCAACGTTGAAAACGCGCGCAGCAAAAATATACTCGCCGCCGGTAATCGGAACGGCTTGTCGTATGCGGTGGCGTAGAGGTCATCGCCGATAGCAGCAACGGTTTGGTCACGGTTCGGTCGCGAGCCAACGGAGTCGAGGAAGTACTGAATGGAACGGCGAACAGGCGTCGGGTCGGGAGGTAGAACCAGAGCCTCAAGGTCAACCAGGGCATTCATGACAACATCTGCATCCTTTTCGATAACGCCTGCCAGGATATCTATAAGGCGGTCCTTGATGAGTGGGTTGAGTTCCCCCATCATGCCAAAGTCGTAAAAGATGATGCTTTCATTTGCACCCACAGCGCAATTGCCTGGGTGAGGATCTGAGCTGAAGAATGCAAACTCCAAAACTTGTTGGATGAATGCGGTGGCAACTCTGTCCGCGATAAGTTCAAGGTCCAACCCGGCCCGCTCCAACGTGTCAACATCAGAGATTTTGATGCCGGGGAGGTACTGCAAGCACAAGACCGTGCCTGTCGTGTATTCTGGGTAGATATGGGGGACTTTGACATAATCAAAGCCTGCGTTGCGAAAGTTGTCTCCAAAGCGTTTACAGCTCTCCATTTCTCTGATGTAATCGATCTCCTGATAGAGCACCTTTGCGCACTCATCATAGATACCAACCCAATCGCGATCATTCCCGCCATACTTTTTCGAGCGTTGCAAGTAGTACGCGACATACTTGAGTGCATCAAGGTCGAGATCAAATAAGCGTTTCAACATAGGCCTTTGTATCTTGACAACGACCTCCTCCCCAGAGAAGAGGCGCGCGCGATGCACCTGGCCCAGACTAGCCGCTGCGAGCGGGACCTTGTCAAACCATGCGAAGACCTCCCCGACCGGGCGTCCGTACTGCTCCTCGAGGAGGCTCTCTGCGACGGGCCACGGGAAGGCCGGGACGCGATCCTGCAGCAACGAGAGCTCCTCGACGACTTCCTTCGGCAAGAGATCGGCCCTCGTGCTTGCCAGCTGGCCGACCTTGATCATGGTGGGCCCGAGCGTGAGGATTTTCTCGCGGGCAAAGCGGGCGAGCTTGCGCCTCCTCTTGGCGATGACGTCATCTGTGCGCGAGCCTAGGTAGGACCACGACTGGCCCTGCAGCCAGTTGGCGGCGAGCAGGCGTGCGATGAAGGACCAGATGGCCACGGAGCGCGAGACGGTGTTGCCGCGCTGCCACGCTGTCGAGCGACGCGTCTCCAGGACAGGGGCTGGGGGGCGCTTAGTCAGGGTGAAGCGGGTGGAGAAGTCGCGGCGGAGACGGCCGCGGCGCGCGGAGGATGGCGTGCCGATGTGCTTCGACGGCGGGCTGGGGGTCGGCGGCTTGGTGAGAACGAGAGTGGTTGCTGGACGACGCAGGACAGAAAGCGAAGAGTGACGTGAGCGGCGGGTCGGAAGGGCCAATGAAGGCTGGAAAGCTGTGGCGGAAGCCATGGCGAGGAAGGGGGCTCGTTGGGGCAGTCCGCGGTAGGTGTGGGGGTGTAGATATGTGCTCTTGCACTGCGCCCGCTATATTCAAAGCGGACGTCACCTGGCTCTGACATGTTCGCGTAGTTGAGGATCTAAGTCTGTGTCGGTAGGAATGTGTGAAGAGTTTGTGAGGTGGAGTGCAACCTCAAGTCTGGGATTGGGCGGTAGGGGAATATCGCCGAGTGCAGTGTCCACCTGTTGCATGGCTAGTGGATGAGGCTTGTTGCTTCCGCCACTGTCCAATCGCACTCGTCCCTGCGCCAGTTTAAGGAATATCTGCCCACTCTACAACACCATTGGCTCACAATGACACGTCGTGCAAAGCTGGCCGTACGACAGCACGCGTCGATTCGACACCCCGACTGCTATGCTGCCTCCACTAATCTCATCCCCAGCACACGTGCAAAGACCATAACCCTTCCTCCTTCCTCTCTCCCCCCCCCCCCCAACAGC